AGCGCCCTCAAACGTCGCAAGTACTATCGAACTAAGAACTTGTTCGTTACCAATTATCCTGTCGGTGTAACTGCTTAATTTTTCGTCGTTTTGGAAAGAGTGTATTCCTTGTTCTTTAAACAGTTTGAAACGAGCTAGGATCTGTACTGAAAATTCAGGTCCGTCACATGACGCAAGTAAAGGAAACGAACAATAAATATACGCTTGTTCGTCGTAGAACCGGTTGATACCGGATTTACCTGCGATGAAGCTGATTTTTTTTTGTCGCGATATGGTGTGATCGCAGGCTAAAACCTGATAAACCAGAACAACTTTTTACCCCCTTCATGATCAATATTCCAAACTGAAAATAAAACAGTCAACGAGTCGAAACAAGGAAGTACAGTATTTTGTAATTGACGGCGCTTCGCTTTCGATTTTTAATACTTTTAAAGGGGACCCAAGTTCTATAGAAAAACATCAGCAACTGCGAACCAAATAATTTATAAGCGAGAAAATTTCTGACGCAAGACACACGATAAAGAACGAACGAAATATAGTGGAAATTCTTCAATATGAAAATATCCACGATTAAGCACGTGCGGGTATTGAGGGGCCGTTCGGTATATTTCTGGTTTGTAACCAATTTTATACGGTATAGAGGGGCGGCATTCCTTAAAAGATTTCTGGTTTTTAACCAATTTACGGTGGATTCGATTCAAGAGAGCATAAACGGTGATGAGATGAGCTTTGCCATTATTTCTTCTCACATATAAAAGCCTGGCAACGAAGGTTTTTTGCACAACATGGCATGCCGGAGTTTGAACATTACGTTGTAACAATTCGGAACAATATCTTCGCAACTCTATTAGGCTGAAAATCATTATTTGTAACTCGTATCGTGTAAATCACATTTTGCATGTTAAATTCGTTATTTTGTCACGTATTTTGAAAATTTGTTTATATTAAATTATTGTTCTCTGCAGAGCAAAACCCAGAAGTATTAAACGAAAGCCGTTTGATTCACCTGTTCGTACGGGAACAGAACGCTCAAACATTGAATAAAAGTAGCTAACCTCGCTTAACTGTTATGTTCCGTTGCTGGCTGTGTGATTTTCGTAACCAATCCAGTCCCTGACACAAGATCGCAGCCGGCGGAAGTACAGTTTTCTAGCGGCCATCTTGGTCTTATTTTGGGGGGCGTTAGGTAGGCGTATATCAATGACGACGTAAATATCCCCACCCCTGCGCGCTTGGTTGATTTTATACTCCTCCCCAGTTTACACTCGGTATAAAGACCCCCGAGCATTTCCGCTTTCACAAGTGATGTTATAAAATTCTCAACTGAAAGTTTCAAAGAATCAAACCCTCTTCTGCTTCTGGCCACCTTAAGGTGTTTTGCAAATGCCCATTTTATGTTTTGACGCATTGCGCCACAGACGAAACTAAACTCTTGATTTAATATGGGATTACATTACGTCTACGACACAGGGTACCCAGTGACCTAGAGAAACCATCCACCGAGGGATGGAACGTGACCTACCTTGCATCGGCTGCTTCAGGTTGAAGAGTGATATGAAGAATTGAAGCACGTTCTAATGTCGCAAGATTCTGTCTGCATTTCGGTATATGACGCAGATGGGACAAATATGAATAGGTGAATAACAGCACTTGTTCAACCTACGTAGTATAGACCAGATTAACCTGCTATTAAACGTTTTTTTCTTATGTCAGGGGCGGATCCAGGTATTTTTCTCAGCGGGGGATGGGGGTGCTTAGTTGTCGCCATAGGGGAGGTGTTACTACAGGAACCCATTCATCCACACAATCTGTTTATGTATTAAAAAACTGTAAGTATTGAAAACTTAGGCCCGGTTCAGACGCCGAACTTTTCATGAGCCCAGCCTTATACATTGATTTTGAATTAAGCCAGATGAAAAGTTCGGCGCCTGAATCAATTAGGAACGACGGTCTGTTTCAATTTGGAACGGCTCAGTCATGAGAACCAAGGAGCTTAAAGACGAAGACCTCGAAATTATGCTGACCCTTCAACTCCGAAAGACGCATTTTATGTGGGGGACTCTCGCCCTCCTTCGTCAAATACGTACTCCTGTTGATGAACGAATTGAAAAGAGTATTGAATCCGCATACTTGAGAAACAAAGAAATTCATATCATAGGGGACTTCAACATCGATTGTTTAAAGACAGCAGCATGCATGTAAAATGCATCAGTCAATTCCACTGAGCTGCGCCCAGTCCCCTCCCCCCTGCCCACGGGCTACCGTGGGGCATATGCCCGACTCCTCCGTCACGGGGTGGGGCATTTGCAAAATTTGCGCTGCCTGTGGGCCGGGCATTAGTAAGTAAGTAATAACTTTATTTAACCACGGAATCCTTATCACTAAAAAGTGGTCTTCTAAAGAGCCGTGCACATTAAACTAAGACTCAAAAATAACAAACATTATTGAAAAAGTCCTAATAATAAATGCTTACTAAGAAAATCTTAATGTACAATAGCGGAAAAAAAAAAACAATTTAAAGTAGTGGCCTGCTTAGCCTCAGCTAACAGGCTGTTCCATGTTACTGCGCCCCTATAACGAAAACTTTTCTTTAGGGCCTCAGTGTTCGGTCGCGGAATAAACAGGTTATGTTGCGCACCTCGAAGATTATGCTTGTGAATGGTATTAATGCTGGCGAATTTATTAGACAGGTATTCGGGTACAAGGTTATTTACAGTTTTAAACATTAAAGATTTCAGTTGCTTAGCACGTCTGTCAGCGAGGCTATCCCATTTAAGGGCATGAAGAATCGGGGCAGAGCTGGCATCCCAGCTAGACCCTGTAATTATGCGTGCAGCCCTGTTTTG